TCCGCCTGCAGCATCAGCATCCCATATGGGTGCCGGTTCTAGTCCCAGCTGCTCCTCTTCCAATCCAGCTCTCTGCTGTGGCCTGGGAAAGCATTGGAGGATGGCCTGAGTGCTTGGGCCCCTGCACCCATGTCAGAGACCTGGAAGATGCTCCTGGCTCCTGGTCAGATCAGCACAGCTCCAGCTGTTGTGGCCATTTGGGGAGTGAATCAATGGAAGGAAGACCTTTCTCTCTGTCTCTCCCTCTCACTGTCTGTAACTCTTTCAAATAAAATAAATAAAAATCTTTTTAAAAAAGTCTCCTACCTATACCTTTCACAAAAATTCACTCAAAATGGATCAAGGAACTGAACCTATGCATTGGCACCATCAAATATCTTGAGAATATTGGAAAAACTCTGCAAGACATTAGCATGGGCAAAAACTTCTTGAAAAAAAATATCTCAGAAGCACAGGCAACCAAAGTCAAACTTGAAAAATGGGATTAAAATAAGTTGAGAAGCTACTGCACTGGAAAAAAAGAATACTCAGCTATGTGAAGAGACAACTAACAAAATGGGAGAAAATATTTGCAAATTTGTAACTGATAAAGGATTAATATCCAGAATCTATAAACAGGTCACTAAACTCAAAAACAACAAAACAAACAATCCAGTTAAGAAATAGACAAGGCCGGTGCCGCGGCTCACTAGGCTAATCCTCCCCCTTGCAGCGCCGGCACACCAGGTTCTAGTCCCGGTCAGGGCGCCAGATTCTGTCCCGGTTGCTCCTCTTCCAGGCCAGCTCTCTGCTGTGGCCCGGGAGTACAGTGGAGGATGGCCCAAGTGCTTGGGCCCTGCATCTCATGGGAGACCAGGAGAAGCACCTGGCTCCTGCCTTCGGATCAGCGTGGTGTGCTGGCCGCAGCGTGCCGGCCGTGGCAGTCATTGGAGGGTAAACCAACGGCAAAGGAAGACCTTTCTCTCTGTCTCTCTCTCTCACTGTCCACTCTGCCTGTCAAAAAAAAAAAAAAAAAAAGAAAAGAAAAGAAATAGACAAAAGACTTGAACAGGCATTTTTCTTTTTTCCTCTTTTTCAGAGGAAAGCTTTATTGTCAGTTAGGAAAAGCCCGAAGGCCAGGGAGAGAGGGCAACAGTAAGAGAGAGAGGGAGTCAAGAGAGAGACATCAAGTGAAAGAGAGCATAAATTTATCATTGTTCAGTAAATTACCTTATGATTAAAAACACACCAAACACCAGAGTTAAGGGAAAGGCTTATTTTCATGTGGGGGAAGCCTGACGGGCTGGGGGTAAGAGCAAGAGAGTAAGAGAGGAATCAGGAGGGCACTTGTATGGGAAGCAGGTCCTGTTATACCTTTGCAGGGGGACTGGGAAGTAGGAGCATATATTTCTGTACTATTTTATATCACCCTCCCCTGAGACCACAATGATTTCTGAATATTCTTTCCAATCAGATAGATCCCTGCCTTTGGGACCCAATATACTTTGGTAGCCCTTCACCACACCTCCATAAAAATACTGAGTGACTTTGTATCTAGTTAGGCTATTCTACATTTTCTGAGCTCCAATTCGATTATCATGCTGCTTCTCCTGACCAATCCCCATGTCCATCCTGGCCCCCTGTAGGACATTCTCATCACACATCACTTAGAGCACACCATCCATTTCACCTTCCCACATTTAAACATCACAAATTCTCATCTCACAGGAAATCTGGCTTTGCCTGCTCCCTGTCTTCCTCCCCCTATAACATTCTCCCAACCCCAAGTCTACGAGTCAAAACTAGAAGAGCATCATTCTTGGAAACCAGATCATTGACCCCTCTGACCACCAGTCTCACTTGGTAAATAATAATTTCTCTCCCCCAGCTAATGGCAAATACACATAACCAGTCCTGTTTCCAGGCTCCCTCATTCACTGTGTGTGTCCCTGACTCTTCTAAGCCCAACTCCCACTTCTGTGCAGACCATCCTCCTCCACAGTATAGCTTATCTCTTTGGAAACCTACCTCAAAAACTAGGATGACACAATGCCTTTTTCCAAATACAAGTTACTTACATAAATAAGAGATTTTCTTTCTTTGTGAGAGTAACATTTACCTCTGCTTCCCAACTAACTACACCAACACTTACATTCTTGTCTATCTCCTAATGCTAGTTTAGCCAAAATAACCAATCTACCACTTTCTCTATCCACAAGTATTCCCTGCAGAACATCTGTCACCCTAATGTTATTGGGTAACTTTAAGCCACAATTCATTTGTTGGGTTCTTGTCTTAAGTTTAGAGAAGCATTCTAAATTCAGATACAAACAAGATGGGCAACGTGGTAAAGTTCAGGATTTATTTGGGGAAGTGAGAGAAATACACAGGAATGTGAGAGCTTTATTAAGGGAAAGGGGCCCAAGAAGGTAAACCAGGAGTTCCATACCAGGCTCTTCCAGAGAGTGGACCAGAGACTGCAAGCAAGAGAGGGCACAGGGATAGGAGTGCACCTAGAGGTGGCACATGAAAGCAGGCACGAGAAGAGGGAAAAGATTTATGAAAGCGCACAAAAGGTATATGAGAGAGCAGGGTGGGCCCAGCGTGCTCCACACCTCTTACTCATTTCTAATCGGGAAGTGGCTACATGGCCTAGTTGACAGGTGGACAGGTGGGTGGAAACAGCCGAGACCAAGTAGGGGCAAGAGGGTTGTGGTCTCCAGCTCATGAACCTAACCAATCTAATCCTATCTCCCTGGTCAGGTCCCATATCACTAACACTCCTCCTAGGCAGCTTGTGATTTGCTACCTGAGTGTGTACAGTGGTAAGAGGACTAGCTAATCCCTAATACCAGGCATTTTCTTTATTTTTTTAGAAATATATATTTATTTACTTGAAAGGCTGAGTTACGGAGAGAGAGGGAGAGAGGGAGAGAGAGGGAGAGAGAAGGAGGTAGGGGAGAGAGAGAGATGTCTTCCATCTGCTGGTTCATCCCCACATGGCTGAAAAAGCCCAAGCTGGGTCACGCCAAAACTAGGAACCAAGAATTCCATTGAGGTCTCCCGCATGGAAGGAGGGGAGCCAGTACTTCAGCTATCATCCAGTCATTTCTCAGGAGCATTAGCAGGGACCTGGATCAGAAGCAGAGGAGCCAGATTTGAACTGGTGCACATATGGGAACCCGGCATTGTAGGTGGTAGCTTAACTCTCTATGCCACAAAGCCATCCCTACTACTAGGACCTTTCTAAAGATATACAAAAAAAAAGGAGTTCTCTGTTTATTTCTAAGGAAGAATGCTGTTTTTATGCAAACCAATGCGGTCTTGTCCATGACGCTTCTCACGAGCTGACAGACAAGACACACAGAATTTGACAATGGATGTCTAACCCTTAGAGCAGCTGGTTTTGAAAATCACTCTGGCTACCTTGGTTTGGCCCCTTCCCACTCCCCTTATAATGGCTTTCTTCTTCAATCTCGAGAGCCATGCCTCCGTCAGTCGTGAGAGTGGTTTGTTCACTCAGTGGTCCAGAACCTCACGCAAACCATGCCAGCGACATCCTCCTACTGTGGGACATCTGGTACTGGCCACTGCCTTAAAACCGTCAGTTCCCGTGGGACTGGGGAGGGAAAGGAAAATCACCTCCCTGACTATGCAGCGTCTCAGCAGGAAGCATCCCCTGAGACTGCCTTCTCCCGTTTCCCGGTTCCTTCCCTTTCTCAGGAACATATTTTGCATGAAATACCCCAAGTCGTTTTACTTTCCATTCCTTTCTTTACATACAAAAATGCTGGACTGTTACGACTTGTTAGGTTATAGGGGATACAAATGATTAACTCTGCACCTGCTAAAAATGGGTTCAAGCGAAATGACCTGAAGATAAATACTGTGGTATTTAGTTGCCGAAGATTCTGCTCATTTGACTCTAACTTTTACAGCTCCTTGCCAGAGATATCCTGGGCTGATAAAACCATGCAGTATGTATTGTTGACTTTTTGAACACCTGACAAGAGGGCTTTTTTGCTCATCCAGGCCCAATTTATCAAGGTAGATACAGATCTCTGTAAGAATACATATCCTTTCCCAGGCAAATAACATCAAAGGACAGCTGCTCATAACCCAGACCTCCCAGCTTCCTGTCCAGGTGAGTTAAATCATCTTTATCTTGACTATGAGGGTATTTCAAAAAGTTCACAGAAAAAAATAAATGATAAGTACATTTCAGTGCAAAAATTTTTTAAAATCCATGCATTTTGAAACAACTTTATGCCAAAATATTGACTGTTAAATGAAATGAATTAACTTTACAAACACAAAAACAAATGACAATTTTCAAAGCTCTGTTAAACTGAATTTATCAGTTAACTGCCCTCCCCCAAAAATCTTTAGTCTCATAGAAATTCATTTCTGAATTTGGATAAACATGTAACTACAGAACTGAATGATTTTATATAAATTCTTTCAGAAAATGAAACATGAAAAAACTTTCTCTAATTCATTTCCTCACACCAAACTCTGATAATGGATTAGCCTTTGTCACTGAGAACCAAGCCCAAACCCCGTGGGTCCTTTGGAAGCTGCCTGTCTTCTGGCCCTATTGGTCAGGTGGACAAAGGGCAAAGGAAAGCTCGGGGCAGTGGGTCCCAGTTGGGCAAGTTCAGTCCCTGCAGCTTCCCTCAGAAACCCAGGTTAGGGACGTGGGGAGGGCAAGGGGAAGAAATATCTGGATTTACCATACCTTCACAGGGCAAGCCAAGTCTGGTGAGAAGATCCGAGAGGAACAGCTTGGTTTATCATACAGAGACCACACTGCATGAGGCATCTGATACTTATGGAGCTTTAGGCAATAAACCAGAAGGGGATGGCAGGTGGCAGAAAAGCCATGTAGAAGACAAGAGGAAGAGCTCAAGTTGAAACACTTCCTTCAGTTAAGGGTCCTGAAATGGCCAAAGTGTAACCCCAGGGATTGAATTCTGAGTTGGAGGAAGTGGAAAAGAAAAACAGACATGTCGCCATGCAAGTTGGTCCACACTCGGTTTATTGTTTCCTTTAGCTGCGATCGGGTGACAAAAGGCAGGATTTTCATTTCTCATTGAAACCCTTGACATTTCCGTTGTCTTTTGAAGGAATTACTAGTTACTGTGGGAGAGGAGGAAAAAAACATGATCAAGTTGTAGATAGTAAATTTCCTCCCACAGAAAAACACAGAGTTGTGGTAATGCCTAGTAAATGGTTCGTGTTGAAGCCTTTAGGATTTTCTTTGATTTCAGGGAAACTATCATTGTTAATCAGAAGTATTTAAAATGAGAAAAAGGCCGGCGCCGCGGCTCACTAGGCTAATCCTCCCCCTTGCAGCGCCGGCACACCAGGTTCTAAGTCCCGGTCAGGGCGCCAGATTCTGTCCCGGTTGCTCCTCTTCCAGGCCAGCTCTCTGCTGTGGCCCGGGAGTGCAGTGGAGGATGGCCCAAGTGCTTGGGCCCTGCATCTCATGGGAGACCAGGAGAAGCACCTGGCTCCTGCCATCCAATCGGCGCGGTGCACCAGCCGCAGCGCGCCAGCCGTGGCGGCCATTGGAGGGTGAACCAATGGCAAAGGAAGACCTTTCTCTCTCTCTCTCTCTCACTGTGCACTCTGCCTGTTAAAAATAAATAAATAAATAAAATAAAATAAAATGAGAAAAAAATTTTTGGCTGAAATGTTCATGAATATTAACATATTTTTAAAAGAAATATTAATTTTAGTTTTTCCATACTTTAGACTAAATAACTTCAGTTTTCAAGTTATCAACAATTTTTTGGCTATGAAAAATCCATAGACCTGAAGCATTGTGCCTATGGTTCTGCTTAGGAGTTTGTTTCTATAAGCTAATTTATTGATTTTTACATCATATTGGGCTTAATTCTTTCGTTCCATTCTATCAACAGCAGCAAGTTTCTAATGACCTTAAGGGAACTTTATTAAGCTGAATTTTAAAATACTGTGGTTTAAATATTCATCAGTTTAAAAATTAGTAATTTTTCATAGGCTATTTATTTCTGTAATATTTCACCAATTCATTGGCTTACTCAGTACTTAGTCATTAAATTCCAATGCACACTCATTTTAACACACATTTCCTATACACTTACCTACTACTACTTGTTGATTGGGTGCTTTCCTGTGAGTCTGATCTAAGTGAATAAGGAAATGACACTTTTAGATTGACATAAAACAGGTGATATAATGCAAGTACAGTCATGCTTAATTAGTATGGCAATTTCTTCCTCTTTATACCTTCAATTTTGTAGTAAAAAATAAATATCTGTCAAGTTTCTACTTTTAAATGCATTATCACCAAAAGCAAGCTAAAATTATTTGGCCTCTTTTCTATTTTTCTAGCTATAGAGTCCTTATTTCTAATCCCCAAATAACCTGGGAGAGAAAAAAAGAATGAATTGTGCACAAACGAATCAAGATTAATTTGCAGAGAAAACAAGTAAGATTAGTAAGAATTCAGTAATTACAGTGGCATAATATTGACCTCCCCACCTCTGCTATGTTGTACCTCCAAAAGTTATAGTTGCTCTTTCAACTACTTCAAAAATACTCTTTGTAATATAGCTAGTTCCCCCCAAAAGCAAAAAGGAAATTTATTTATGGAGATTTCTGAGTCCTACTACATATATGTCTGTCTTTCAAAAAAAAAATCTTGTTTAGTTATGTCTGCCAAAGTAGTTAACTACCAACAGCCCTCACTGGATTTCCAACAGAAAATATTAAAAATAGATGTAAAAAGAACATGGGACCAGTAAAACCACCTACAAGCTGTTCCACTTCTGATCCAGCTCCCTGATAATGGCCTGGAGAGAGCAGTGAATGATGGTCAAAGTACTTGGGACCCTTCCACCTACATGGGAGACCCAGAAGAATCTCCTGGTTCCTGCTTCAGCCTGACCTAGCCCTGGCCCTTACAGCCAGCCGGGGAGTGTACAAGCAGATGGAAAATCAATCTCTCTCTCTCTCTCTCCCTCTGTCTCTCTCTCCCTCTGTCTCTCTCTCTGTAATTTTGACTTCCAAATAAATACATAAATCTTTTTAAAAAGGAAGAAATATAGAAAAACATAATAGGTGTCATAACAGTAAAGCATTGTACCTGCTTAGCTTACTAAATTTAAATGAAAAATAAAAGAATGCTTTTCTGTATTCTATAAACAAAGCTAGACTAATGAATTAATAGTCTAAATTATATTCTCCAAATGATGCTTATATTGTCCTATAGTTGATGTCTTCTAGATGATGATGATGATATTTGAATGCCATATTCTAAGATTAGAGACAATCTGTTACAATTGGAGTACTTAACACTAATTAATATGGTTATGTGAAATTCAAGAGTAATAACTCATTCAATAAACAAATGTCTATTGAGCATTTATGCTGCAGAATGACACTATAAACTGAGAAACAAAAGAGGCATGTCCATTACCCTAAAGCAAGTTCAGATCCTAGATGAGTACAACGTTGGGAGACCTGTATGACTGGAACACTGCATCACAACTCCCTGGCGACAGTGACAGAGACAAGAGGCAAAAAAAAAAGGGTTTTTTCCCTCATACTTAGTTTGTTGAAAGTAAGAAATGTCTATAAAAGTGTGGTTAGAGGGCCGGTGCTGTGGCGCAGTGGGTTAATGCCCTGGCCTGAAGTGCCAGCATCTCATATGGGCACCGGTTCTAGTCCTGGCTGCTCCTCTTCTGATCCAGCTCTCTGCTATGGCCTGGGAAAGCAGTGGAAGATGGCCCAAGTGCTTGGGCCCCTGCACCCATGTGGGAGACCCGGAGGAAGCTCCTGGCTCCTGGCTTCAGATCAGCGCAGCTCCAGTCGTTGCGGCCAATTGGGGAGTGAACCATCGGATGGAAGACCTCTCTCTCTCTCTCTCTCTCTCTCTCTCTGCCTCTCCTCTCTCTGTGTAACTCTGTCTAAATAAATCTTTCAAAAAAGAAAAGAGGGGTTAGAGAGAATGGATACAGAAATACTGCAGCTTTCTTAGAGGATGGAGCGTCTTCCACCAGGCAGGAGAGATACTATATAATGTCATAGCGTTGCCTAGAAAATAGCTTGTGGCTATAAAAAATATTCTGCATAGCAGTGGATTAATGTAACTAGAAGTCACTTCAAGAAAAAATACAGGATAAAAAAAAGAAAACTTTATGAAGAAGATGAGTAGACATTTCTCATTTGATACAAATGAGAAACTAAAACTTAGAGAATTCAGAGCATCCTTGTTAACAAAATTGTAGGCTGTTGAGGGTCTTAGGGAAATATTGAATTTTAGTGTGTTTATGATGCTATCTCTTATATAAACTTTTCCAAAGTGTGGAACTCATTCACTCAGTTGTTCATATTTTGTTTATTAGTCTAAATGCAATCTAAATGAAGAAGCAAAATTTTCTTTTATAAATGTTAGCATAAACTATTGAAAAATGTTCATCTTGTACATTATACAAACTAATTATAAGTACCTATCTCTTACTATATTTCTCTGTGTGAGTCACAAGTATAGGTGATTGATAAAAATTTAGTCAACCAAAGAAAAAAATATTAAATTAATTGATATCTGTTCCTAGAATGGGAAATAATACCAAGCTGATTTAGTAACAGTACTTTATCAAGTGTGGATACTTAAAAATTATTGTGCATATATTTGTGAATTATCAACTTTTTCATTCTTAGTTTTCAATATATTTATTTATAGGAAATACTTTCTAAGTTCTTTACCTGCTGGTTTCTGCTTGAGTACTATCTTCTGACGTGGATCTAAATAAAAACATCAGAAAGTCACTCTGAAGAAACTTGCCTACTTTGAGAATAGGCCATTTTGTACCAAAATTAATTCTTAAACACACAGAGCATGCAGATAAGTAATGTTGTTTACTCAAATGTCAAGTGCAATATAAAAAACAAAATTAAACTTCTGCAGTGGTGAAGAAAATAATGATAAAACTTTTTTTCATTATCACTGCTAAGCACAAATTATAAATTTGACTCCAAATTCCTAAATTTGGGCTACAGGGTTCAAATTAACTTTATTTGCTAATATGGAAATTATCACATTGTACAAAAATAAATTTGTGCTTAATTCGGGGAAATCTAGAAGACTGAACTGACTGCATAACTTCTCCCTTCTATTCCACACAATACAAAAAAAGCTGAAGAGAATAGCATACAATTTAACACAAAAGTCAGATTGCTAGCCATTAAAGTTTCAAAGACTGAAAAAGCTAGAATTTCAAAGACAAAGAAACAAAGAAGGAGCTAAAGCTGAGTGCCCTAAGTGATGTGCTTCTAAGAATCCTAGCTTGGAAGGAGTTGAGGGATGGACCCACACATGTTTGAAAGCTGGGATTCTAAGAGGGGTAAAGGCCTGGTGTCTGTGCTGTCATATTGCTTTGTTAAGAATATCCAGGAGTAGCTTGAACAGCCCCACATCTCTAAAGCCAAGTTACCAACCACAGAGAGTTTCAATATCCCTCTCAGGCAACTGCAGGTGCCAAGTTGTTTACAGTGATCCCTCACCCTTTGACCTTGCCCTCCTCCCCTTTTCCTGCCACTCATACTTAAAAAGGACTAGTTACAAAGGAAAAGTCAAGATGGCTTCTTTAGTACACCATCCCTGTCAATGACTCAGCTTACTAGTACTCCAATTAAACTCACTTTCTTTGCTACAACACCTCACCCTTGAGTTATAGGACTTTTCATGTGGTAGCCAGATGGGCTTGAACGTGGCAACAATTGTTGGTGAGCCAGGCAATGTAAGCTGTTCAAGGGTGTCATTCTTGTTTCAAATGACCCTCCCTGGGAAATGTCTAGTAGGTGCTAGAACTTTTTGTTCTGGGGCTTTCCCTTGGACTCCCTACAAAGGTTTTGGCTGCCCCAAGCACTACACTGTTGAAGAAACATCTGATTCTGTGGGTCCCCTGCTTCTCCTCTGAGCAGAGTAAGTTGACTTGGTATATAAAACTGAGAACTCCTTTATCCTCCACTTGGGACACTCCTTTAGGAAGCCTAATGTGTATTTTATTTGACATAGGAGCCCTGTTGGAGAGAGGAAAAGAGTTAATAGGACTCGTACCCAAATTCTGAACCAGATATTTTGTGGTTATTTCTATTTCCAAGCCGAATTTGTGATTGTTTGCAACTAAACCCTTTATATGATTGCCATTGGGTCATTTGTGGCTTGTCTGTACCTGAACCTCTCTTTCTCTTCCATTTTCTGTCTGAAGTAGAAATTATAGTGGGGAATGCACCTTCAAGCCCTAAGGAGAGCCTATTGAGGCATATTTCGGTAAATTGTCATAGTGTTGGTAAAATATCATGACCAAAACTAAAATAATTTATTGTAACAGACTGTCCTCATCTTAAAAACGATGGGCCATGACTTCCAGTGAGAGAAAAATGGCTGCGGCCATTGCAAACTAACGTGTTAGTGCAGGGAAAAAAGCTGAAAAATTTGCTAAAGAAAAAGAAGAAGGTGAAAACGATTGCCAAAGTCATAGCATCTGAGCTGGAAGAGGAGGTGAAAGATGCTTCCGACAGTGGAGGATCTGTAGGAAGCTGTGGATTGGAAAAGGGTCATTTTTCTGATGATGAAGCAATAGATGCTGACAATGAGGATGCTGATGAATCCTGTGACAAAGAAAATGAAAATGCTGGAGAATCATGTGCTAGAACTAATATGGGCTGGGCAGATGCCATGGCTAAAATCCTCAACAAGAAAACACCTAAAAGTAAACCCACCATTTTAGTCAAAAATAAAGAACTGGAAAAGGAAAAAGAAAAGTTAAAGCAAGAAAGACTTGAGAGAAGAAAACAGATTGATAAGAGGAAAGAGTGGGAAATTATGTGCAGAGTAAAGCCAGATGTTGTCAAAGACAAAGAAGGAGAGAGAAATCTTCAGAGAATTGCAACAAGGGATGTGGTGCAATTACTTAATGCTGTCCAAAAACATCAAAAGAACATTGATGAAAAGGTTAAAGAAGCTGGAGGCTCTATTAGAAAGCGTGCTAAGTTGATATCAACTGTTTCTAAGATTTAATCAGTGTTCTGAGAGGAATGGATGGAACTGCAAATGAGAAAAGTTCAACTGAGAAGCTCAAAAGCCAAACAGACTGAAGCGAAATCAGAAGAGGGCCCAGGTTGAACGATCCTCCGTGATGATTTCATGATGGGAGCATCTATGAAAGACTGGGACAAGGAAAGTGATAGGCCAGATAACAGCAGACCAGAATCTACAAGTGACTCTGACATGTAAAATAATAGAGGTAACATAGTTTTCAATCAGTTTATTTTTCCTACAAAGATACTCTATCCTCTGGCAGTTTGGGAATTATAATGATACCATTTGTAAGAAAGCCAAAAGACTTACTAGCTTTGATGTGGGGAAAAAGGGACACTAACCCACTGTTGGTAGGAAGGCAAACTGGTAAAGCCACTATGGAAGTCAGTCTGCAGATTCCTCACAAACCTGAATATAACCCTACCTTACAACCTGTCCATCCCACTCCTTGGAATTTACCCAAAGGAAAATAAATTGGCAAACACAAAAGCTGTCTGCACCTTAATGTTTATTGCAGCTCAATTCACATTAGCTAAGACCTGGAATCAACCCAAATGCCCATCAACAGTAGACTGAATAAAGAAATTATGGGGCATGTACTCTATAGAACACTATACAGCAGTAAAAAAAGGATCTGGTCATTTTGCAACAAGATGGAGGAATCTGGAACACATCATGCTGAGTGAACTAAGCCAGTCCCAAAGGGACAAATATATGTTCTCCCTGATTGGTTACAAATAACCAAGCACCAAAAGGAAACCTGTTGAAGTGAAATGGACACTATGAGAAACAGTGACTTGATCAGCCCTTGTCCTGACTGTTGATGTACAATTTAATATTCATCCCTTTAGTATTTTTTGTTCTACTTAATACTATTGGTTGAACTCTTTAATTAACACACAATTATTCTTAGGTGTTTAAATTTAACTGAAAAGTGATCTCTGTTAAATATAAGAGTGGGAATAAGAGAGGGAGAGAGGGAGGAGATGTAGAATTTGGGATATGCTCAAGCTGACTTGCTGCAAATGGTAGAGTTAGAAACATACCAGGGGATTCCAATTCAATCCCATCAAGGTGGCATGTACCAATGCCATCTCACTAGTCCCAGTGATCAATTTCAGTTCACAATTGATCATACTGATAGGTCTAAGAGTCAAAGGGATCACATAAACAAGACTACTGTCTGCTAATACTAACTGATAGAAGAAAAAAGGGGGAGAACGATCCAATATCAGAAGCGGGATACACAGCAGATTCATAGAATGGCAGATGCACTAAACAGCACTCTGGCCTCAGAATCAGTCCTTAAGGCATTCACATCTGGCTGAAGAGCCCATGAGAGTATTTTAGGCATGGAAAGACAAGACACTCTGGGAAAAAATATTAAATGAAATATCTCTGTGAGTGAGATCCCAGTGGAAGAATGGGCCATCAAAGAAGGAGGTACCTTTCTCTGAAGGGAGGAGAGAACTTCCACTTTGACTATGACCTTGCCTAAATAAGGTCAGAATTGGCGAACTCAAAAGGCTTCCATAGCCTTGGCAACTCATGACAAGAGCCTAGGGAGATTACTGACGCCATAAACAAGAGTGTCAATTTACTAAGTCAACAACAGGAGTCACTGTGCACTTACTCATCATCTAAGATCTCTGTCCTTAATGTGTTGCTCAATGTGAATTAATGCTATAACTAGTACTCAAACAATATTTTACACTTTATGTTTCTGTGCGGGTGCAAACTGTTGAAATCTTTACTTAATATATACTAAATTGATCTTCTGTACATAAAGATAATTGAAAATGAATCTTAATGTGAATAGAATGGAAAAGGGAGAGGGGATGGTTGGTTTGCTGGTGGGAGGGAAGTTATGGGGGGGGGAGCCATTGTAATCCATGAGCTGTGCTTTGGAAATTTATATTCATTAAATAAAAGTTAAAAAAATAAATAATTAAAAAACTAAAATAAACCCTATGTGAAATCTTTCAGCTGTAAATCCTGCCATATCATGCATCACAGAACTCACATGGGTTAAAATCCCCATGCTTACAATGAATGTTAGAAAACTATATATCGGAACTTAACTTTCATTAGAAATCATATAATTCACATAGGGGAGAAAACTTAAGAATGTATTGAGTGTGGAAAAGCCTTTTGATGGAAGTCGCACTTCATCAAACATCAGAGAATTCACAGAGCTGAAACAATTTATGAATGTACTTAATGTGGAAAAGCCTTTTGCCCCACCCAAGTCAGCCCTCAGTAGACCTCAACGAATTCACACATCGCAGAAACTTTTGAATACAGTTGAGTGTAGAGATTCATTTGGATGGAAATCAACCCTCACTGTACATCAGAAAATTCATACAGGGGAGACATGTTATGAATGTAATGAGTGTGGAAAAGTATTTTAGTGTAAGCTAGACCTCATCAAGCATCAGAGAATTCACACATGGGCAAAATCTTATATATGTAATGAGTGAGGAAAAGTTTTCTTGTCAAATGACAACCCTCATTACACATTAGCAAATTCAGAGAAGAAATCTTATGAAAGCAATGAATGTGGAAAAACATTTTTCTGAAATCCAAGTGGCAAAAGAAACAGAATTCATCAAATGTTTTGTCCCAGGTAAGAAATGATTATCTGGTGACCTACATACTCAAGAAATTCTAGACTTATTTGTTTGTAGGCCTGGATGTGCCT